AAGTTAAAAAAAAAAAAACTGACCGTAATAAAAGTCATAATCCCAGAATGTAGAAGATATGAGAAATCATATAAGATGTCAAAAGTGCTCAATGAATGCGTTGAATAGTTAATTTTAAAGAGAAAAGATAGAAATGTCCCAACATTTTGGTGGTGCCGAAATCTGTTTTTTTTTCTGGGCTGATGCCAAAAAGGACGTAATATTAATAATACGGTTTGTTTGCAGAAATGCATGTCCTCACTATTCTAGTATATATTGACTTTTTTAGATAGTACCGAACAAAAATATATTCCCTGGTGCAGAAATGTATTACGATAAAGACGATGATATATTTCGTCAGCTTTCGGAGCACTACCACAGTTCACCTGCATCAAGCAGTTCGGAATCCGGAGAAAGCGCAACAAATCAGGAAGAAATCTATTGTAATATTGGCGTTAGAACGATGTCGTTGGAAGAATCTTCTATAAGAGCTGGTAGTGAGAGTGATGAAAGATCCAGCTCTTGCCCACCAAGAATGGATTTGGAGACGAAACATGATGCTGAAAATTCATACGCAGGAAACAAATTAAGCGTACGATTAAAACCTTTCTTGCAAGCGATCGCTGTTCCAGTGGGGGAAGAGACTAAGCACGGTTTGGTCAGGACCAGTAGTTCAAATCACTTAGTTTTGTAACTTTATAGTTGTATTCCACTGTACATTTGTTTTTTGATTTGAACTGTTTATAGTTCTTCATTCATTCTCTACGTCTTTTTTTTTTTTTTTTTTTTTTTAAATAATGGCGAAGACTTCAGTAGTCTTCCGAACAGTTTATGGTGCTGGGTATTTGCTTGGGGATTTCTTATTTTTCGAATATTGTTGGAGGTGGTTCTAAAAGAAATTGATGTGTTTTTTCTTTTTCAAAAAGAAGACAAAGTACAAATGCTTTCCGTATGGAAATCAATCATGTTGAAACTGTTTTATCTCTGATTTATTTTGCTGGAACATTTCCGCAGGCTTATGCTTTTCGTCCATTTCATCTAATGTCTTGTAAAGGCAGTTAGGTTTGCAAACTATATTCACTGTTGTAGGTTGCTCTCATTCGATTGAAACCTGTTAAAATTTGCCATGCTTTATTTGCAAGTCAGCCCAACATGTTTACATAGTGAGAATGAAGGTTTAAACATTTTTTATAGCAACAGGGAGTAATTTAAAAACATTTCACCTGCTTTCTACGCTTTCTACGGGCTTTCGCTCCAAATAAGCATTGCATATTGTCGCTTGCTTGCTAAGTCAAGGATTCTTATCAGGTGCACTTTGTTTATGAAGCTTAATTTTTTCCTTCCAATTTGCTTAGTGTTCATAATTGTCACCGCAGTATTGCCATCACTATTGGGCATGTACAGTGTGTATGTTTTGTTGTAAAAGCACTTAATGGAGGAAACGAATTTGTGCTACTAGTTATATTCAATAAATTGAGAGAAAATCTCCGTTTTCAAAAATCCGTTTTTTTTGGGGGGGAAAAAGGCATTACCATTGCCATTAATGTAGTCATTATAAAGAACGTTTTCTCGATAATAACTATCGAATGTATCATATGTTTATTTATTGATCATTTTTTTTAGTCATTTTGTAGCTTTGGATTTTTTGATGATTGAGTCGCGAAGGATGTATAACTGTGAACTGATTGTAGTATTTTTCTTGGTGTCATGCTTCTCTGAGTGTAGATGCTGTACTTTTCATTAGAGTTCTTGTTTTTCCAAGGAATTACAGTGTAGTCACTCTTTGATGGCATTGCGGAACATTGCAGAATTATGAATTTATTTTGCCTTCATTTTTAGATTTCTTTTATTGAATTGTGGAAGTGGAAGTAGAGGTTAGAAAAATGACCTGATGCATTCAGTTGCAGCTTTTGAAAATTATCTGAAGGCATGTAACTTGGAGCAGCTGAAAGGAAAATAGTTCATGTCTGGGTTTGAAGAATGTTTTTTGTGCTGCGAGCTCCGCTAATGTGTTGGGAGCTAAATACATAGTTGCGATATGCTAAACCAGTGTTCTTTGTAATGAAATTCTTAAGTTGATCTTGTACTGAAGTTGATAGTTGATTTTTTTTTTCCGGGCATATTTATGCAACAAATAGAATGTTTCATTTTTGTGAACGAACGTGGGGTTCTTGGGAGATGATTCATGTTTCGGGTTGTGTTCATCTTCGCTGGCCATAACTCATTGCATTTTTCATTTTTTACAGCTATCCGGTATCAGAGAATATGGCCGGACTGTAGTTAATGATATTTGAAGTTGTACAGTACAAACTTTTTCGCGTTATCTGTGGAGAAAGTGCATTTTGTGGAGTGTGTATAATATGTTTACTTGTCCTCAGGTTTTTCTGGATGAAGTTGTCATGTCCTGGGGATAAACTTGAAGTCAAATTGGATATTTTATCTCCTCTTACCGATCCAAAATAGTTTCACCTATTTTCCTTCGCTGTATTCGTTTTTGGCTATGCGGACTTAGTTCATTATCAGAAATTGTCCTTGTAAATTGACAGTACTGTTTCTTGTATATTTCCTAACTTTGTTTGGTTAAAAAAACGAAGTGATCCGAGATGTTACGGTTCGTTCAACATTTCGGTATTAATGTAATGCCATAGGTGTTGGAAGTCTTTGTCCAGTTTTTTTTCCTTTTTTAACGCAGGAGTCTACGTTAAAAATTGAACTTCAAGTCCAGTGCTTATAAGTCTCATAAAGTTTAGAATCAGTAGAACTAGAACCGACTTCCTACATAATGAGATTTAGATGGAATGGCTGGAGTATTTTTAAGGTAGTGGTTTTGCCGATGTAAATGAACACTATTTTCTCGAAATAGTAGCCAAAAACGAGTGGTAATGTAGAATAGGTGGTTATACTGCCAATGAATTTATTTTATACTTCGTCTAATTATCTTATTGCAGCTGGTTTAGCGACAGTAACCTCGTTGATTTTCCCTATGTTTGAGATCATTGTAATTTTGTGTGTTTTTTGCGCATTTTCTTATGAAGAATAAAAGAAAAAATATGCGAGATACTGCTGTCCTTCCTGATTTTGAACCTTATTTCCCTGTTATCACTCTAGATGTGTCCGTAGGCACATAAACTTCGAAGTGAGATTCGAGTCGGTCTTTTTTAAAAAACTTTGTTAAGTCTGTCAGCTAAGGGTTTTCAATCTCAACACGTGCTGATGGTTTTGTCATTATATTGCTTTCACCATAACATGGATCTAGTCCCACAGATACTATCGTCACCTGCCGTATTTCTCGTAGATTGAACGTATGAGCTGTTTCTATAACATCATTCACGAACCTAGTCTAATGTAAACTCCGGGCACTTTTAGACTGGAATGTTCTTATCCACAATCCAACGTTCCACGTGATTTGCTTGTAATTAACAAAGTAGCAGTTTCTGAAAGAACTGGAGATCACATAGTGCATTTCTTTTACCAAGTGAAAACACCAACATTTTTTTACTAAATAAGATCTCGACATCAAGACACATCAAGGAGTACGTCAGCAGTACGCGGGAAAGAATTCTAGTGAGAAATTGATCATCATAACCTGCTGCAAGGTCCACATTATAAGTTTAGTCTTAAGTTTTTTAGATACTGGTAGTAAGTAACGCTGCTCCTTACGGGTATGGAACGAAAGATAACCGGAACTAATCTATCCACTTTAATATTTGCATTTGAGTGATTTAAATGCATACGGTCGTTATATTATTTCAGAAATATGCATAGGAGATTATTTTGCTAAAATATTGCACGCTTATGCACTATCGCTATAAGTTTTCTAGGAAGTTGATTCCCCAAAATTCCTCAAATTATGATTTACAGTTTACTACACAGGATCTCACATCAAGACATCAGAACAACTTATCTCTGTAGCGCAGAAGCACTGAATAAAGTGTAAAAAGGGAATAAAATGTAGTTAAAAGGTAGTAGTTCCTTATTAGAAGTCAGGAAGTGAAATGATGGTGAATTTGGATGAATGAAACCATTCTGAGAACATAAACTGTCTCGCGTATCTGTTTGATGTCATTTGTGTACAAATTGACAGCTGTAAATTACCTCTTCAGTGAAATGATTAGTCACTGCTCTCGAAATAATACAGCTTAAACTAGATTAATGTTGTGATTTGTAACTGGGAAATTATTCTAACTTCTTCACGGAAACATATAACTAATTTAATCTACCCACGCCTTAAGCAGATAATAGAAGGATGGGAGATATAGTAATCGATGGATAGATACTTAATTTGTAAATAACTATAAACACTAAGTGAATAACTATATAAACTTTCCTTCAGTGCTCTGAATTAAAATCCTAATTAACTATTCTATGATACCATCTAGCCATACCGTAACCTTGCCTGCAACAAGGATATCCCTGCAGTGTACGAGTGGTATTTTGCAGTAGGTGGACTCTTGCAAGAAAGCATTTTCGTTGACAGCATGTAGTGCGGAGGTCGTCCAGTAAGAACTCAGCTACTAACTTTTGTTTTTAATCTCCGAGTTTTACGATATCTCAAGGCAAGTAAACTTGCGAAATCAAATTGCGACCAGCTCTTTTGTGGGTGGGCTGCTTAGGAAGTGAAAGAAAAACTAAAGAGAGACGTCAGTGTAATTGACACATGGTTGGTGTTCGTTGACATGACCCTGAAAGTTTAACTGTAATTCCACAAATGGAAGTTGGTTTGTAATCTCTGACAAATTAAAAAGCCACCAGCTACCCTTGGTAACATTATACTAAAGGATGAAAGCTTCTATTAGTAATTGATAACTGCATTTTCAGCTACTGTTAGGATGGAAATAATTGAAGAAATTGGGTAAATATTGTATGGTGGTGATACTAACACTGATGTAAATGTTAGTATTCTTATGGGGCGTCGTTGTTGGCGCGGTTTTAATGCTTTTCTTCATTTATGTACTGTTGTTCAATCCCTTTGGTGAAATCTCTTCACATGCCATATTTGCTGATCAGTTTCAGCCACTTCGCCTTCCTGAGGTAATTTAATTCTTTTTCAGTTCTTGAGAAGAGTAGCATAGTGCATATTGTTTTCTTTTACTTAAGGAGATGGTTTTTAGGAACTGAGACAGTTCTTGAAGGAAGGGGATGGTGGAAGCCGAACTTTCGAGTGGGAATCATGCTTCAATCTGAGTCTTATCCTTCACTTTTTGTTTCAAGAGCACAAGGATACTCGCCGATTAAGAAGGTACTTTAACCACATTCCTTATAAATACCTATGATCATATTTGGATATTAAAATCATGTAAATCCAGATCACGTGTTTTTCGTATCGTACAGGTGGATCCACAAAAAGCTTCAATTGGAACTTAGTGATCTAACTACTCGAAATACCGCTGGTCGTTTCATACAGGTTCATTTCATCTGTGCAAGTGATGTTAAAAAGAATACAGCCACATCAGATTCACCTCTTCTTGTTTATTGCTAATCCTTCTTCTTTCCTAGTAGCTCTGGAAGCTGTACCATCCATCGGTGTATCACTTCCATCACAATTTTAACTGCTCTGTAATCAGTGAAATCACTTTCTTAAAGAATTAATTTTCAAGTGAAGGGAAGATTTACCAAAAGTAATGGTAAAACTTAGGAAATAATCGTAGGTTCATGTTGATGAAATCCTAAAATAGCAGTTTTGAAATACGGGTTAAATGAACTTTTCAAGCCATTGAAGCTAACTTATAATCTCCAGAAAACATTTTTCTTCTCTTTCTTAAAGCGTTTGCGTTCTAGGACATTCGTATTAGGGATTTATCGATTGGCTGCAGATCTCCCGTGATCAAATCAGTACGTGTAGAGGACTATGAGCTGTTGCGAGATGAGAATTTTAAAGTAATTTCACTTCATTGTTAAATTTTGTGTCTCATATTCCAAAAAATGGAAATAAATGCAAAGTAAATCGACGTTTGTTTGAGTGACGACTTGCTACTATATATTCATGTACAAAACATTTGGACTATCAAAGTTAAATTGTTTTCAGTATTGAAATGGATTGATTACACTCACCATCGAGACATAAATATGTTGGAGAAATGTTCTTTTTCAGACACTAAAACTTCTTGTCGATGTAGATTACAGTGGAGGTTTTCAAAGTTCCGTTGATGTTTGTATGCTGTTTGGGCGATTTGCGCAGCTATCGATCAAGGTTTCCATCTAAGTTTTTGGTTGTCAGGAAGTATTTCAAATAACTTTGGGTGTTGATCGATCAGGTTTGATCCTAATTTCTTGCATCATTAAGATTGAGCACTATGCATAATTTTTAACTTATTACTGCATTTAGCTTACTCGTCTTTCTGGCAAAATCCGGTTGAAGCTGACTCGTGAGCCTTTTACTCATTGGGTCTTTGCATTTGTTGATATGCCGATGTTGGAATTCCAAGTAAGTTTTGTGTTGTGATTTTTGATAACAATGTTCATATATTTATTTTTTTTTTTTGTTACATATGGTAATGATAATACAAGAAATTGTAGACATGGGACAATTGTCAACTCATTACATCTTCAAAGCAACGTGATGCTTTTCAGATTGACTCACAGTGGCAAGGCAAACAAGTGAAACACCTCATACCTTTCATCACACAAAAACTTAGACATATGGTTCAACGCAAGCATGTCTGGCCAAACTACAAGATTCGATATCGTCCTCTATTTCCTAATCCCTTATATCAACCTTCCCCATCTATAGGTAACTTTTCAGCAATCTTCAAATATAAATATCATAATAATTACATGGTTTCGTTTGATTTATTATGGTCTGAGAAATCCTATCATCTTACTACTGTGTAAGGTAAGGTGAGGATCTAAAAATTTGGGATATGTGCTTCAAAAACTATAAGCAGAAGATTGTTAAGCTTGAAGTAAGCGATTTAGGCTGATATTCTAATTAAATAATGTATTTAAACGAACAATTTGACGGAATTTCTTACGAGTTTGACGAATTGAACTAACTGGTGTAAAATGGTATCATGAAGTGTTTGTAAAGATTGCCATTGTTTTCTTAGTAGCAATGTTTGTTGCATTTGTACCGAACTATATTTTCATAGCAAAATGATCTGTTTCAGGTGCTTTCGAATATATTAAAACAACGGGTCTGTTAGAAGTTACGGTTTTACGATGTACAAGACTGAACACTATGCTGGTCAACAACGGAAATTCTGAGGTTTTCTGTGTTGTATCTGTAGGTAAATGACTTTATTCTTGTTTTATTTACTCGTCTTTGACTACTAGATTCTTGACACGATGGTTTCATAAACAGTTTCATATTCCTAAATGTAAAGGGTTTGGATTATTCGGTGATCCAAGAAAGTAAAATATGCCATCTCTTTGGGAAAAAGCTTAAATCCGGTATAATATGTGGTCATTAAACAGATCATCGACCGCTAATGGAGGATGCAAGCAGAAGTTCAGCACGATGCATCACCGTATTATTGAACTTTAGTCGGCATGGTATTAGTGAGTCGATTGGGATGACATTCTCGAAAGTAAATCCCTTCTAAAAATTTCCGCTTTATGTATTCTTTCTCTTAGTTGTGGACAGCAAGGAAATAATGCTATATTCATCAGTGATATTATTATTAAGGTACTTGTTATTTAGTTCTCAGCATATCTTTTCAGATGCTCATTTCTCTGTTCCAAAAATAATTGTCTCCACTTTCCTTATTCTTATTACGCCCATTATTGTCAACAGGAATCGTAGCGAAGAGTAGTCTTGTAACGTTTAACTTTCTGTCTATACTATCTTCCACTTTTCTTGCCTATTTTTTTAACAAAAATGTATCACTTCACTCTTTTCAATTTGGACGACTGTTGCGATGCCTTTCACATCAGTCCTTGTCGTTGTCGTGGCTAGGCTTCTCGAACAATGTGTGAAGGGCTAACCAATGCTTGTTGAAGGCAAGCTGATGAAGGCTAAGAAGGTCAATGCAGGATGTACAAGTTCGATTGCAAAAGGCACAACGGAAAGTCTTTTTAGACGGTATTGGCTAAATACAATTCTTTTTGCTTATCTTTTGTCCTCAAAGCTGATTCTTTTTGTATTCTCAAAGGAAGCAGAGGCGATATGAATGATTGTCTCCCAACTTGAGGTCAGAGTGGACATTGATGGTAGCCTATATGGCCATGGCTGAGGTATTGCTTCAGGGCATCTTGTGCTTCTCCTTGCTCCTCTTTGGGACTCTTCTTTTGCGGAAGCCTAGGGCAAGTTCACCACATAACACAATCATAGAAAGGTGGTGATCATCCATCCTGGAAAATGTGCT